TTAAACCCCCACTTGAAGAAACCACCTCGAAGCACCCCAGAGCAAATGACTAAATTTCATACCGACGAATACGTTCACTTTCTTAGCAGGGTTACACCTGAAACGGCGTCAAGTCTTAGCTACGGTGGTACTCGTTGTACGTGCCCAACCGGTCCGTCGGCATAGCCCCTCCCTCATGTCTGGCAGTCCTTGTAGGAGAAGACAACCCTGCATTTGAAGGCATCTTCGAATTCTGCTCTATATCTGCCGGTGGTTCACTCGGTAACTACCCTCGTATCGTACCGTCCGTTTTCTCACCGCCTGTGCCACAGCCGCCGCCGACACGCTGACCTCCAACGCTGCCGACATCGCTATCAACTGGGCCGGTGGCCTCCATCATGCCAAAAAACGTGAAGCCTCCGGTTTCTGTTACATCAATGATATCGTTCTCGCGATTCTCGATTTGCTTCGCGTATACCCTCGCGTCCTTTACATCGACATCGACTGCCATCACGGCGATGGCGTGGAGGAGGCGTTCTACACAACGGACCGCGTCATGACTTGCAGCTTCCATAAATACGGCGAATACTTCCCCGGCACAGGCACACAGGCAGACAGGGGACGTGGCAAAGGCTTCGGATACGCTGTTAACATACCTCTCAAGGATGGCCTCACGGACGAGTCGTTCCAACGCATCTTTGAGCCAATCATCACCAAAATTCTCGAAGTATACCGCCCTGGCGCCGTTGTCCTACAGTGCGGAGCCGACTCCCTTTCCGGAGACAGGCTTGGCTGTTTCAACCTCTCCATGCAAGGTCACGCCAACTGCGTGCAATTCATGCGCAAGCAAAACATTCCCCTCATCCTCCTTGGCGGTGGCGGCTACACGGTCAAGAACGTGGCACGCGCATGGTGCTATGAGACCGCGTGCGCGATTGGCATAGAAAACGACATTGACACGCATAGGATGCCTTATAACGAGTACTTTGAATGGTTCGGGCCTAGGTACCGACTCGAAGTGGCAACCAGCAATGCGGACGACGAGAATGTGCCGCATCTAGATCGTATAAGGTAAGTGATGCGGTCCGGTCAGTTGGTAACCTACTCATCGCTGCTGTTGCAGAGAAAAGGCTATACGGCAGCTCGATGAGTTGATTCCCGTGCCTTCCGTTCAGCTGCAAGACACGCCGAGGCAAAGCTTGGGAGATCACTTGGGCTTCGCCATGCCACGCGAGGACGACCTAGGCTCACGAGATGACCTGGATGAGCGGCTAGCCCGTAAGTGTAGATGGCGCCCTTTTTGCGGGGAAAGTGAATCGATGACGCACCTGCAGGAGCTGCAAACCTTGCGTACGCTCTTCAGCCCGCAGAGAGCACCGATTCTGACTCCGATGATGGCTTCGACTCGAGCGCATCCACTGCCTCCCGTCGCGTCCACCGGCGGAAGCGCTCGAAATCGACTCGCAAACACATGAGCATCACCACCAACCAATACTTCGAGGTAGCATCCGATGGGGTTCCCGTATATGAATGGGATCCAGAGGACTGGTGCGAAGGAGCTCGGCGTGTTCCGTGGAACGCCAACATCGGGGATGTCAGGAGGCGCTTTTTCGGAGATGCCCCGAAGTGGGAAAAGCTACTCGATCTGGTATCCGTGGAACAGGATTCTGGACTGCCGAGGACACTGGCTGGTAGCTTCAGACGCGGCACGGATGATGACATGCGGACATCTCCCTTACCGGAGGTAATCCTCGAAGACGTTGAGCTGGGTTAAGCGCCTTCGATCAACTATGATAGGTATGCATACTATAGACTACGAGGATACCTCATAATATATCAGGTGTTAGCACTTATAAATGTATGTAGCATCCTTGCAGCAAATCAGCATAAGTTAACCTAGGGAGATGCCGTAGCGTGAGAACATGATAGAAACTTCCTGACCTTCTCATCTTACCCAGGGTACCACCAACCCCATCGTCTATGCTTGCGGTACTGCTGGATCGACCACTGCGTTCTTGCTCATGCGTGCTCCTAATACTTACCGTTTTCTCTGGTGGTTGAAGCATGATCTCTGCGATTCCGGGTCCACTTCTAGCGCCAATCGCCGCACGACATATTCTCGTATCTTCTGGAAACTTGCACGGGCCATGGGCCCTCACTCGCCCTGCCAGACTGAAGAGCGATCTTTCTCGATTATTCTATCAATCTCTCTCCAATACAGGTATATTGGACCTCGATGACGGTGAACCAGGGAGACAGGGACGACACCTACGGACACGTCGCAGACATCATTCAATTCTGCCTCTTGTATAGTTCCGTCGACTGGACACGCACACCATGGAGCACCAAACTACCTGCATTGTACGAACGCGGTCACCACCTTGCTGCGCTCTCTCCATTGGGTGACTCGAGGAGCGATCGTGTTGGGCGCGGGTGCGCATTCACTATCCACGGTGGAACGCGCGCACAGCCTAGGCCGTGTGTATGCTATCAAAACCGTGTCGTGAGTAATCCAGGTGGAGATGGCTTTCCGTCTAGAACCGTCTTTCAGGGGCACACACGTACGGGATCGTTCTGTTCAACCCTCCGGGGCGCCGAACAAGTCAACAAGACGCCCGCGTTTGGCCGAGTTCTATCACCCACCAGTAGGCGCTCGAGCTTTGTTGAGCGGTTGAAGATATCATGCGTCCATTTATCATTGGCTCGTAAGACCTTCAGCGCGCTATGAAAGCAGACGGGCGCGAGCGAGTTCGTGCTCTTAGCACCTCTTTCTCAGTTCAGAGAGAATCGTGGATAAACACGCTTTCGAGGCAATCTCTGATGGACTGGCACCCTCTTGAAATACCTGCCGTCTCGACTCTCTCGCCTCAACTTCTTCGAGGCGAATTGATCGAGCTTCAAGGAGCTCAGCGAGGTAGAAAGTCTGTGTGCCGCCTCGCATCCTTTGAGTCGATCCTGACATGTATACTACCAGGTTTGGATACAAGGACCGTCGTCCAGTGGCGCCTGTAAGATATGTTTGGCTCTTGCGCTTTGCGTACTCACGTCTTGGTACTATAGCCATCTGTAGTCCAATTGCGCCTTTTTCAAACCCTCGGCGATGGCATTGAACGCGAAGTCGAAGACTACAGGTCAGATCTTTCCTCTCGAACCTACAACAAACCGGTCGTAATATCTCATTAAGGGACGTGGTTATATCTGGCTTGATATGCCACATCGACTTATACCCCGTTCCAAAGCCTCCTCCAGAGCTACCCAGCGCTTACGAAACCACTTCCTCCGAGTTAGCACCGTCGACCCCGGACGTCGAACCTACCGCAGAAACCTCCCAGCAGTCGTTGGATGGTTCTATGCAAATCGACCACGGTGCATCCGCGGCAGCAAATATACCGCACCTATCGATTGTCGCGCCCGTAAGCCCTGGTAGCGATCCCAGCGACCGCGTCATAGCGTCGGTCAATGGCGTCCCTCTACGGGAGTCTTTCGCAGTCACCTCACAAGTGATCGTACGTCAGATGAAATCGTCGAAGTCGCGTACTGACTTTTACTGAGCAGGGATCTCGTGCCGTTGAGGCCATGCTGCTTGAACTGGAGGGCAAGCACGTCGTCATCTTCGTTTTCTCGGTCAGTATCCCGAGCACACAACTACCGTATGTCTCACTGATAACGCGGCAGGATCTCGCGGTGCAGTTGACGGGACAATTCATATTTCGATACCGGGTCTTCGACGTGCGATCTCTAACCTCGGGTCAGATGTTGCGCTCGGAGGAAGCGCCGTCCCCCATGCTCGCGGAGTGCTTCTCCCAGACAATACTGAGGATATGGGACTCCAGGAACTTTCCTGGTAATCAACCGCCGACGGCTTTGAGTCAGGTAAGAAACCGCGTCGTTTTGGCTGTATGGATAACGAGTGACGTGCACTGCATGTAGGTTATATTGGCGCAGACGAAGGGAACCCGGCCGCAACTCGGTCCGCGAACGAGTTCGGCCCGAGATACTGACGACGAGTCGTAAGGCGACCGCCTGGTATTCTTTCTTTCTTTGGTATATGATACCTGCAACGACAAGATCTAAATCGTATCATCCAGTTGCTTAGCAGGTCGGACGACCGACTCTCAGTCGATCAAGCAGTTGCCAAGTCTTAATTCGTGATTTCCTACGTGAACGTTGCAGAAACGGTGGATGAACTGGGCACATTCGTACCTTAGAGTCGGACGCAGCCATTTGCGGGTCCATATAATCCTTGAGGCCAATCTAGGGGTTCTCTGTGTGGGATGTAGCAGTACCGTACTATCCTCATACTCGCCTTTTTCATAACGTTTGTAACTATACTGTAGTGCAAACAATGTATAGCTTTGACATCGACGGCATGGGAATCAAGTTGACTATGTAAGTCGCGAACCCGAAGAAATCCGACGGCGGGGGCTCTCGGATATCCCCGCGTTATCATTCCCGACGGATGACAGCCAGTGCCGTTCGAAAGTCGAATATGCAATGGTCGCTACCAGCCCCATCCCACTCGGTCGTCCTCCGACCCAAGCACCTCGTCCTTCGTGACTACTTACACGCCCACGACGAATGTCCTGTCCCTGCGCACGACGCCGAGGACGTAGACTCGATCCACCTCCGTCGGAAAGCGGAAGCAAATGATGGATACCTGGCAGACGGAGGTGGCCCAACTCAGCCAAGCCGATCAAGCCTTATCTCGCTAGAACGGTCCACCCCTGGCTAGGCACACGACTCAGCGCCGACGGAATCTTCTCCGCACTCGCTCCCACCGACGACCTCAAGAATCCGCGCCCGGGTGCCCGCCTGCGACCCGCCCCGTTGCCCATCCCCGGCCCTTTGACGTGCTCGACGATGCCCGCAACGAGCTCCGTCGTCAAAGACCAGCCTGCTCCCACCCCGGACCCCACCGCGGCTCGCGCTGACCCTCCGCCCACCCGGCGCTGGGACTGGCGTTCCCGCCTTGCGCATGCGCGGCACAAGGTCTCCTCCAGGGAGGGCTGGTTGGGCGACTACAACTGTGCGTCCCGTCAAGTACCGCGTCCATCGACTTGCTGAGCATTCCTCTCGCAGATTCATGGCTTTGCATGCCCGTGTTACCCTTTACTCGCAGGAAGCACTCCCAACCGCCGTTCTACGCCCTCCATGCCGAATTGCCCCTCCTCCTCGCGATTACGACCGGCTTCCAGCACTCCCTCGCCATGCTTGCAGGACTCATAACGCCCCCTATCATCTTCGCCAGCTCGCTGAACCTGGACGCGAACCTGAGCGCGTACATGGTCAGCGCGTCGCTGATTGGTTGCGGTAAGCGCAGGTTACGGCGCCGAGTCCTACCCGTGCTTTGGGCTGACCTGTCGTTTGCAGGTATCCTCAGCCTTGTGCAGATGTCGAGGATCCGACTGTTCAGAAACTACTACCTCGGCACCGGACTCATCACCGTCGTCGGCACCTCATTTGCCACCCTATCCACCGCGACGGCGATTTTTGATAGCCTATATGCGAACGGCAAATGCCCCTCGACGACGGCATCCGACGGCACCGTCACTCGCGGTGCTTGTCCCGACGCGTATGGCTACCTCCTCGGAACCGCCCTCCTTTGCTCCCTGCTCGAAATCGGGATGTCGTTCATCAACCCGCGCAGGCTGCAGAAGATCTTCCCGCCGATCGTGACGGGTACCGTCATCGTCCTCATCGGCGCCAGTCTCGTCGGTAGCTCCGGCATTCCGAATTGGGGTGGAGGAAGCAACGACTGTATGTCGCGGCCGACAAGCGGGATATTCCAACTGTGCCCGACGATCAGTGCGCCGAGGCCACTCCCTTGGGGCTCCCCCGAGTTCATAGGATTGGGTTTCCTGTCCTTCGTCACGATCATTCTCGTCGAGCTCTTCGGCAGCCCTTTCATGAAAAACATTTCCATCATCCTTGGACTGCTCGTGGGTTGTATCGTCGCCGGCGCAGCGGGCTACATAGACAGCAGCAACATTGACAGCGCCCCTGCTATCACCTTCTTGTGGTGAGCATCACACTTCTCTTGTGCGACCGGAAACCGTGACCCACATGACGTACCAGGGTGCATACCTTTAGAATCCGCGTATATGCTCCCGCCATCCTACCTATGCTCGCGGTATATGTATCTTTAGCGATGGAAGCCATCGGTGACATCACTGCGTCCGCAGAGGTTTCTCGTGTAGATGTGGATGGACCCGAGTTCGATACCCGCATACAAGGCGGTGTGCTGGTGAGCGCGCGCCACCGGCCTTGCCGGATCAGTCGACAAACGCTGACACCGTCTGTTACGGTAGAGCGACGGCCTTGGCGGTCTCCTCTCTGCTCTGTTCACGGTTACGCCACTCTCCATCTTCGCTCAGAATAACGGCGTTATCGCCATAACGCGATGCGCGAACCGCACGGCGGGGCGCTGGTGCTGCGTGTTCCTCATCCTCTTCGGAGTGCTTGGCAAGATATCTGGCGTTTTCTTATCCAGTACGTCTCTTTGCCGCGTTCAACGCGTTCACCATCAGCTGATGATCGATTCGGCCATGCTACAGTCCCGAACCCCGTCCTAGGCGGTGTGACCACCTTCCTGTTCTCCTCCGTCGTGGTTTCCGGTATCCGCGTCCTCTCGTACAACCGCTTCACCCGACGAGATCGATTCGTGCTCGCCGCCGCGTTCTCCTTCGGCATCGGCGACCTACTCGTGCCCGAGGTCTTTACCCACCTCTTCGATGGCGTCAACAACCCAAGCAGCGGTCTGCAGGGCCTGTTCGACTCGATCACCATCGTGTTGAGCACGCCGTTCTTGATGGCGGGCATCGTGGCGGCGGTACTGAACCTGATCCTACCCGAAGAGTTTGATTTCGGAGGGATGAAGGATGGCCAGCAGGACGAGGAGGCGGAAGTCGTCGACGTAGAGGCTGGCACTCACGAGAAGAAATAGACGTGCACGCACAATCACAATCAAACTCCACGATGCTATAGTGTATATTTTCTCTAGCGCACCGCTACCCATCCGATTGTAAACAGTGATGTCAACGCCGCGACTTCGGATCCAAGTCATGTTGCCGACTATCCGCTCGACCAGTCGCGCGACTTGACTAGCTAAGCGAGCCGTGAGCAAAGTTGGGGCCTGTTGTAATACCAATGCTGAGGCATGCTGCCTTGATGCCGTATGCAACGTCCGAGTGCCCGAGCTCCATGGCATTCAACTCCGCATCCGTTGCCCGACGGCATAACAGATTATTGTTATCACGGATTTTGCGACTTCCTGTCTTAGTCGCGACTTGAATAGAATAGCCGCATGATCCGCGACTTGGGACTTGACATGCAGTCAGTCGGCGACTTGGACATCACTCTGATTATAAATCGCCTCGTTACACCCTTTTCTCGTCGTCAATACAATGGAATACGTATGACAAATCATCCCGAGACACCGATCCTACAAACAGGGAAATAACTCATGCAAGTACTGCAACCCTCACGGCAGGCACGAAACCAGAAACAGCGGCGCCCAGTTACGCATAGGAAGAGGCAGAGGAGCCCAACGGCTTCTCCATTCTCTGTCTGTCATAGTCAGCTTTGGTTGTGCTTCCGGCGGTGACCTCGAGGGGTGTTGCCTGTTGATTAGAGTTAGCTGCCGGATTATAGAATTGTCAAACATCGGAAGCTCACATTGATCGCCGCAATGCGCGTCGTGGAAAGCTCCAAAGGAATATCGTTGCTTTTCCGAAGGTTTTGACGGGCGTTGAGGCTATCCAATAGTGAGCACTCTAGTGACTATGGTGCAGAGGCACTCACGTCGATAGAATTGTGTTAGAGTACACTGTTATGAGGTCAGAACTGAACAAGATCGAGACGGTTGCACGCTCACCCTTCCCAAGAACAAAATTGATCGCGAAATTGACAAGATTGTTGGGCATAGCCAAGAACTGTCGCATGCGATCTTATGAGTCTGCCGTGTATGAGTTCGTTGAAATCGGCTTACTGAGATGAATCCCGCGACTGCAACAAGGCTATATTAAACCCGGTAAGTACCAGCCAACCAAGATGTTGGATATCTTACCTGGTCATGATGCCACTGTTCACCGAGTATATAATCAGCCGCGAAAGTATGTCATCCGTCCTGCAGCACTCTCATAAAATGAGTTCTCTTCAGTGAGGAGAGGACGAACCTTGAGAACCCTGTTCTCTTCCTGTATAGGTAGAAGCACATGCTTGCACCGATGGCGATATCGGCCAATGCAGCACTGGCTAGCGAACTTGTTACGACACCCTGAGATATCGTGTCTTCAAGATATTACGCTGTGATCCTGGGAGACAAACCTTATAGTTATGTAGGTCTGCGAAGAGTCGAAATTGGAACCTGAGACGCAGCTGAGTATTATCAAATCAGAAGCATGATTGCTGAAGTTCCTCACCCGAGACCTGTCATCGCTGCAAAAATGCGTGAGCAATGTATGAAGGGAAGATAAAGGGAACAAACTCACTTAATCCCACAGCTGAGGCACCGCGTCACTAATCAGTCAAGACTCGTTGAGGATTTGCGTAGCATACCAAGTTGTGTCAATGCTAGCACCCACTGAAATGTGTCGATCAGTTACTGAGGTCTCGCCATTCCTGCACGACGTACTATCACCGCTACCAGTACAATGTTCCTGTCGCTCACTGTCTGACTCAGAACACATCCGGAGCCGAAATGATCGAGACACCCACTCTTGTAGACCCGCCAGGAGAGAAATCTTCAAAAAATGAGTATTCCATACATATGCGAGTAGAAATAATACGAACATCTGAACGATGAATGCAGAAATACACTGGGAAAGAAGTTTATCTCATATTTCTCTGTGATACACCAGCGTAGCATACGTTGAGGGCCACGGGCACCTATAGCATGCTACTTAGCTCATGCGCAGGCACAAATAGAGCACCTTGGCACGTACGATGATGCTCCTGATGCGGCGTGTAGGTCATTGAATGCATCGCGAAAGCGCGGAACATACCATATCGCTCTCTCGAGGTCCTCGTATTTTCCAAAGCAAGTAACAAGATAGAAATAAACACAATGACTGATGAAAGCAGAGTGAAGCGTGTCGAGTATCCTAGAGTCACGCCAGGTCGTGAGCTCAATGACACGAAGAGGCTCTGATCGCGCCAGACCATAATACGGCCACCTATCCCATATGTAAATCAGTGATGCCGAACAGGCGCAATCATTTAGAGATTGTTCCTACCGTAACCCGGATGAAAACAGGATCCTTGGTGTACATGCGATAGTACGTCCAAGTTTGCAGACAGGATAATCCGTAAAGCGCCGATGCAGCAATCACGCCAATCAAAGCAACACCCAGAGTATTATCGAGGGGAGGAGGCGTCACTGCGGCTGACATGATGAGTGATATGCAGATAACGAGGAATACGTCAGTTTGTTCTGTGTTCGGCTGGCTGACAGTGATACATACTTTATAGCAGTCAAGAAACTCTCCAATTATTCCCGGGTAAAGCGCGACCGTGGTAGCGACCCCTGCAAAACGCAGGCTGTGACGCATTACTGCCATTGTGTGGGTGTGTATGTGCATCAGGAAAACCACCCCCAGCCTTATCTGCAGAAAACATAATGAAGATACACAAGCAATTGTTTTCATTTGATATGATAGCATCCACTTTGAGGAGATCATCCCATCTTGTGAAACATTGTCCCAGATCCTGCAAAAATGAATCAAATATGGAAGGTCCCCCCCAGGGATTTACTGAAGATATGACTGCCTTTAATGATATATGTTCAAATCTGTTCAAATTTGTTCAGATTTGTTCAGATTTGTTAGTGTCCTAGTCCAGTAGATATGTACAAATCTGACCATATAGCACCAAATTGGAGTAGAAAGGGTCAAATATAGCATAAAAGCAGCAGGTATGAGGGCTTGCTGTTGGTGACCATTCCTCTTCACTAGTATCATCACCACAGTTCAATGAGGAACAAGCATAGTTCATAAAGACTACATACACAATTCATTACTACTACGAAGCACCTCTAACAATCTAGGAACTACTTAGGGCAAGACATTTTAGTGCGGCCGAGGCAAGGTGGGTGTGTCGAGGATGTCAAAGGGGGCATACCAGGGACGCCGAGCACGAGCAACCGACCGATCACGTTTGCGGCTCGCGCTCGGTGTTGGGCCAACGAGGGGCCAGGGGAGGCAAGGCCGAACACGACCGCGTTGGCGGCTCCTGCTTGGGGCTAGTTGAAGGGGTGCGCGAGAGAGGATGGCTCGGCGCTGGGCCAACGGTCGGTGCAGGGAGTGGAAGCAGCGCCGAGCGAGACCGCGCTGGCGGCTCGCGCTGGGCGGGGGTGGCGCGAAGGAGGGGGGCGACACCGAGCCCGACCGCGTTGGCGGCTCGTGCTCGGTGCTCGGCGATGGATGGCGGTGCGGGCGTTTGAGGGCGAGGACCCTCAGCGTGATCGGGTCCTCTTCGCGCTCGGCGCTATCATCTTCGTCGTCAGCATCGCCTGTGCGCTCATCTTCGACAGACACACGTCACCTTGAAGAGCCTGCACGGTCGGCTTCGTCGTCCTCCTCCGCCTCGCTGAGCAAACCACTCCCCTCGTGACGCAGCTTCGTGACGCTGGCGCTCCTGGGCAATCCGCGTCGTGTGGAACTATGCGATGCGCTCCTAGGAAACGATGGTTGGCCGACACGGCGGGGCGTCGGCGAGTGCGTGCGGGATGCCTGCGGTGGGAAGTACGAGGTGCCGTAGTTATGGTGCTGAGGAGTGTTATCCTGCATGGACCAGGTCGAGCTCCTCGATACGCTCCGCTGGAGTTGATCGCGGTCGACGACATGGCGGGCTGTCCAGCGTCTTCGAACTGGCGCTCGGTGGGTGAAAGCCCCGACATCGTTGACGGTGTCGACAGAGAACAACCGCCGGGCTCAAAAGCCAAAGGTGGGGCGAGTGTGCGGGCTTGCGCGCGGTGGGCCTGCGCACTTGCCAGCGCCGCGTCCGGCGCATTTGCGAGCGCGGAGGCCTACGCACTGGCGAGCGCGGCGGAGAGCGCACTTGCGAGCGCGAGGGCCGGCGCACTTGCTAGCGCAGTGGGCTGCGCACTTGCAAGCGCTAGGAGGGCGGATGGCGCACTTGCAAGCGCTGCATCCGGCGCATTTGCGAGCGCGGCGGGCGGCGCATTTGCCAGCGCGAGGGGCAGCGCAGGCGGAGACTGGCGAGAGAGCAGAGTGAGCTTACTCGAGTCAACCAACCACGTCACGATTTGATCACGTGACCTGTGTCAACCGCGATGATTCGTCTAAGTCCGCTTTGGCCACTGTGTCCCTGCTTTTCAGATAACACAAGCTTATTCAGTTTGTGCATAGTTATGACTGTGTATTAGTCTAATAGTATATAGAGTGACTAATGTTGCAATTCAATACCTGAGACTGATTTGAATCATGGTATTTGTGCACTGGGAGACCTACTATCACTACTATACAGATACATCCCATATTTATGGGTGCTATATTGGTTGCACTTATGAGCTATGTATCACTATGTAGCTATAGCACCAAACTATGTTGTCTCTAGCTACTATCTAGGACTATGTAGCAACTGACCAACATCTACATAGCACTCATAGCACTCTATAGCAACTAACCTACTTCTATATAGTACCCATAGCACTACAATAGTGACTATAGTTCTGAGGGGCAGCTATATAGATCCAGATTTTTTCAGATGAAGTGCATGAGCTTAGGCTTGGTCCAGATCCGTACTCAACTTCACCGACTTCTCTGACTTACCGACCCAACGCCAATGCATCGGAGACACGTCTCTGACTCCCCTCGCCTTTACCTTTGAGTTCTTCCTTTCATTTCATCTTATTCTTTGTATCTACCTTTCGGACTTCGGTCCTCTGACCCTGTTCCCCCTTCTGTATCTGTTCTTGACAGCTAGACTACTCCTAGGACCTCCCCCAACCCTACCAACCTTTGCCTGACCTCAAGCCCAGCCCGGCACACCGGTGAGAGATTCTTCTTACATATCACACTAGTACTTTAAGCTTGATCACCTATAACTACAACATAGCACTGCATAGCAACTGGGCGACTTCCATATAGCACCCATGGCACCCACATTCCTTGGTTGGCCTATGAGGGGGGCAGCTATAAGATTTTTTTGGATGATGATCAGTTATAATTCAAATAGAGATAGCATTCCAATGACCAATATATGAACATGACATTATCTACTAACTCATTAAGACCTGGTGCTATTCAGAAGTGCCAGTCTTGCGTGTCTTGGTCCTTGGGAAACCTACTATCACCATTCCATAGGTGCAAACCCAAATCAGTCCAAACCTGATGCAAGTCAATCAAATCTGGCTGCAAATCTTTGTCAATTTGCTGGCAAATCCACCCAGATCTGCTGGCACATGTCAAATATCCTCAAATCTGTTCAAATTGAAGAAGAAATACAGAGTTTGTGCAGAATTTGGGTATATCTGATGAATAACGTCAGGGAGAGGTTTTCCTGATGTGCGGGTGAAGTTCATTACTGCCATCGTCTATTAGCAGGACAATACCTTCCCGCAGTTTCAGACTTTATCATCACAGCTTCGCGTGGCGGCGCCTCGGCATCTTACCCTGCACTTCTATATGTATAACTTTCCCAAGGCTTCGAAATTAGATCGCATCTCGCAACGCTGGCTATGGGTCTGATCATACAACATTTCCGCCGCTGGGCGCTGAATTCAGTATGGTGATCCTCGGCACTGTAACAAGACCCGCGTCTTACAGAAAGGAAGCCAGGTCGACAGTGAACAACCCACGAACAGCCAGGAGTTGCCTCCGCTCGAGTTTGACCTGAGAAGGTGCCTATATATTGCCTGCCAGAGCCGCCCACCCAGCCCAAGTTCTCCAACAACGCACGCGACATCTCTCGCAGATCCTTTGCGCCATGCTACATGGATACCTTCTATTGCTATCTAATTGGGTGCATGATAGCTCGTCAATGCAACAACTATGTGCAAGTGCTCTTGGCGCCATTGTAGGTTCTTCATGTTGTTACGAGTTCTTCGCAATAATAATATGTTCATTAGCCAACGTGTCTTATATTGCACAAAATATACATCAGAGGCGACGTAGCTGCGCTTGCCTTGATGACGATCACAGCGATGTTCCTGCTTGCCTCCGTCGTGGGGGATGGCAACTCCAATTCCCTGCAGAGCATGCTGCAATCGATATCCATGGTTGTGATTCACGTACTCTGCGTCAGTTTATGCACCGTCGCCTATAGATTATCGTCATTCCACCCGCTTCACGAGTTTCCTGGCCCATTTCTCGGAGCGGCGACCGCATTATACAGTGCCTACGTTGCCTCTACGGGCAAACGGCATCTCGTGATCCAAGGTTTGCATGCGAAGTACGGCAAGATAGTGCGCACCGGTGGGTACTAGCTAGTAACTTGACAGTTCAACGCTGAGCAGGATGCACCCACAGGACCTAATTCACTCTCCATCAATGCACCGAATGCAATCGGCAAGATTTACGCTCAAGCCAACTGCATGAACAAGAGCGATGCCTACCTCCTTGGAAGATCCAAGCATTCTGGGCTCTTCTTCATACCCGACCGGGAGGAGCACAATCGCAGGAGGGATATTTGGTCCAGTGCTTTCACTCCATCAGCGTGCGTTGGCGGAGCAATGATATCAACGAGCTGGATGCTAGAGACCCAATGACGTATTTCCTAGGATTGACGGTCACCGCGCTACCATCGAACGCAGGGTCAAACAACTAGCCTCCTGTTTAGAGTCGCGGGCGGAAATCTCCGGTACAGTCGACCTTACTGAAGCTTTCCAGCATTGGTCCTACGACATCATGGCATGTAATATCCTGATTTGATTGTCTAGATCTATCGTGCTGACATTGTGATGCAGGGAGACATCGTTTTCGGTGGATCAAATCGCTTGGTAAGTCGGGTCTAATGATTGCGAACACCGCGTATTCTGATATTGTCGCAGGAGCTCATGCTCGAAGGCGATCCTCATCAGTACGTGAAGTGCGGGCAAATTGCGACGGCCGCGTTTGATGTGTACGTGATACCGCCACTCTTTTCTATCGCTGCAACAAGTCTAAAAGAGAAAATCAATCGATAGCCTTGGAGAAGTTCCTTGGTTGTTCGATCTCTTATGGTACCTGCCCCTGACACAAGACATTCACGCGCTGGAACAATTTGCTGCTACACTAATGTCTACGCGCCGTCGTGACTCAAATGGACCACATCAAGATATCTGTTCAAGCTTGGTGAGTGTTGAGCAAAGCATGACGTGCACGCACTGAAGGCTGTGAAGTTGGGTGAAGTAGACGACGGAACCAGCGCACTTAGCGATGGGGAGCTCAACGTGGATGCCTTGTTTGCTATTCAAGCCGGTATGGGTATCATCACTGTTTTCGTCATTCTGCTAATTAAAAACCTAAAGGCTCCGACTCCACGGCATCGGTGTTGAATTTCGCCTTCTATTACCTGCTGAATGACCGGTCCAAATACGAGAAACTCCAAGCAGAGCTAGATGACGCATTCCCTACTGGTTCGGAAATCACGTCTTCCCGACTCAATGGCCTCCCTTATCTCAACGCGGTGGTCGATGAAGCTCTACGACTTGGAACGCCATTTTCTGGTCTCTCTAGGGTTGTTCCTGAAGGCGGAGCGATGATTGATGGACATTTCATACCAGGCGGAACAATCGTCGGCGTTCCAGCATACACCCAACAGGTATCGGCAGAAAATTTCTCTCCGGAACCCGAAGCATTCCGTCCAGAACGCTGGATTAACGATAGTACGGCTGATTCCACTGCCACGGTCTGTCGCCGCTCTGCCATCATGTGTTTTTCATACGGTAAGAGGCGATCGGATCTCCCTCAAAGTTTTTCAAGAGTCTCAACGCTCAATTTCAGGTCCCTTCAGCTGCATGGGTAGGAATCTTGCCGTCTTGGAACTGCGCCTTGCGATAGCTTTTCTTGTGCATTCCTTAGACTTCGCGTTTTCTGCAGAATTCTCTTCTGAAGAGTTCATGAGAAAGGTTTCAAACCTGCGGAGCACCTTCTTTGGACATCACCTTCTCGTTTCTGTTCGCAACAGGGTCGATATATCGCATGTGTAGTTGCGCGGGTTGATATTCTTGCCTCAATAAAATGTGTCGCAGCGTTACAATGCACAGAGTCGTATAGCGGTAGTCTTTATCTTCATTGATCTTGGGCGACTGACTTGCGGTATATCAAGATGCCGAAGGTAGATGCAGTTCCCTATCCGAGGTCTTGATACTAGTAACAAGCCACGCCTCGCTGCGATCCTGCGGGCCACTAGTATTAATGTTTTGCGATAGGTATCCAGTCGAAAGGGCTAGATTAGATGTCCGTCATACTCTATGTCCAGGAGGCATCTCCTTTCCATCATCTGCAACTGAGGCCCTATCATCGTCTCCGTCATCCTCGGTCCTGACACAATGCCTTGCAGCCTGCAATCATATTATTGTGAGCCCGGTCCAAGTTCAGTACTTACATTGTGCTGGAGTTGTTCCAAAAATTCCAATACTTTCGCTCTTAGCGGGAAGTTCGCAAACTGACTCGAGTCAGTTAAGAATACTCTCCCAATAAGAGGTATCATTTTCACGGTCAGTTCAAGGCCTAGATTTTGGCGGCGGACAGGGGACAAAACGGGAAATTAAGTTCAGTTCGGGCTGCCAGGGGCCAGGGGACGAAGCTAAGGTCGTAAAATTACAGTAGCATGTAGACTGGAAGCTGATACATCGCACGTAGCAATGGTCACGGAAATGGAAGTTGGAATACGGAATAGGAAAACAGGACGTCAAAAGGATGAAGCATATTCTGTGGGACGGGACCAAATATCTACAACATCGACCGTCGTCTCCGCAATGTATCATACTAATAATAACACCGACGGAGAACCAACAACGATGAAAGTAATACAGTATATCTATGCAATCAAGACTACCTGGACAATCTCTATGCACTTTCAAACTGGCGATAGCGGCGCCGTATCAGGAAAAGATGGCAGAGACTGCAGAAAGCTGTCCCAGCGACAGTCACAGATGATCGGGGCGTGGATATAGACTTCCATACCCATATCATCCACCCATTTGGATGCGTGAGTCCCAACCGCATCTAAAGCGATGCGTTCCATCTCCAATAGGCCAAACCTAGAGATAAGTCCTGCTTCGACATACCAAGCAAGATCCGACTTCACAGCCTGAGACACGTAAAGATCAATCAGAACTTGAGGAACATTCTCTGCAATGGCTGCATCGTAGGCCATGCGGTGGCCCATCGCTTGTACGCACGATTCGCAGCGATGCAGAACCAAAGAGGCAAATTCTTCGCCCCTATGCCCATAGCTCGTCACTACCGCACGGCATTCTGCAAAGATGCCTTCTTCGTGAAGGGCGAGTAGACTCTTTGGGTGCTGCGGGGCAGGTAAAGCGTACCGCCCAAGGATAAGCTCGGTGGCAAGGCCTGTTGAGGACGTGAGTTAAAGTTTCGTCATTGAATGAGAAAACGAACGTATAGAAAGCACGAGCGTGTCTCCTTCTGCAATCCCTATGCCACGGATCTCGCTCTGGATGATTTTTTTCGTCAAAACTCGTCCTCATGTTTCGAGACGAACAGAACGAACCGTCATAGAGATAATTTGATTATATGCAAACAAGCCTTGAGCACCGCAACGTTCAGAAAGCACCATGTGTGAACTTTGTGAATGCTGCATCATAACAGACTTCAGAACCGTTGCTACCCCGTGCCTAACCCGATGGTCCGATGTGTTGTCCGCAAAGTGCTTCACCGCGCGCTTGTGCAAAGCATCCAAGACATATGTTTGTGCCAGCGCGACGTAAATGGGGACTTGTTGAGTACGAAATGATATTATAGGCTGCGGTTTTCCATGTGCATCTCGCACTGTCCTTCTCAAGCTGTAGCGATAGGCAATCACGGTCGAAATGCGCAGTGCAGGTAGAGCTATTGAGCTCAGCGCCAAGGTGCCAACACCGACTCGCCATATCGACTGTAGAAAATCGGCATGGGCTGATGTTGATGGGGATAACTTCCCGAGGAGTGCAGTGCCCGGAAGCTGAACACGGTTGAACATAGTGATTGCGTGATTCACAGGAGATGAACCGTGGCGTGCCGGTAGGAGCCTATTGGATGGTTCAGTGATATATAGAGGGCGAGACGCAGAACGTACTTAGCAGTTACTCCAGCGTGCATGTTGATGCCGTCGTTGATATTGACGAGGAATGGACGTAAACCTCGAAACTCATCGTCGACCATAAGTCGCGCAAACACGATGGCTATGCACGGACGCCCCAGAGCAGGGATAGTCGGGGGCATAAACCTGCACGTATTTTATATGAGTACAGACAGCGGATACTCAGGTAATCAGGTAACACTAACTTCGAATTGCTGATGCACGGAGTATTCAACTCGAAGCTACCGTCAGCGAGTAGAGTGGCGGTGGTACCGAGATTAAAGGCATCCAATCCGTGTCCCAGTTCAGTGAGACAAAATTGACCGCTGCATGAATGCATCAACAAGATAATCTCTGTCGGGAGGATGAACTCACATCGTTTCATATTTCAATAGGCTGCTTATTGTGGATGCAAGGTCGGGCCTCTCCGGGAGGAACGAAGCCAAAGTTCCAGTGCATAGGTTATACTGTATGGTCAACAGAGTTGTAGCCGCCCCGTCCATGCATAGAATAGGGTCTGTGTGCATATCCCAGAACTTGGAAGAGCACACCATGATATCATGCAAAGAGAGTTCTGGATAGTGTAGATGCTGAGTACGTGTTTCCAGAGGAAAGGTCAAAAGTGCGTACCATATACCTCCGCAATGGAAATCGCTCGACGATAAGATACGTCTGGATCCACCTCGTCGTATTTATTAGGGAATTCGGTGGTGATATTCCATATGTGCCGACCAGAGCTCAATAATCCCTCCGACGGCCACATGACTAGCAGAGATTCGGAGAACACTGCAGGACGTACAAGCTCGATGAGTGTAAGGTACTTATACCCGCTTAATTGGCAGCTGTAATCCATGATTGGACGCACGACGATGCAATGATGATCACGAATGTGCCCCACAGGTTCCCAGATACACCAAACAAGCCGCCCTTGAGCTTCGACAGCATGCATACAATGCAGCACTGCGTGAACTATTTGCATCCACCATTCTCCCAAATGATGGCTGTGCAGTGTGCGATGTCAGTGGGAACTTCTCAGCCGGGGTCGGCTCCGGAAGTGTATGCAACGCGGGACCATATGCATGAAACGCGCACTCGCGCCAGCAATTCATACTAATGCGGTCCAAGATCAAGCGCCATAAGCCGCGGGTATCAGGCAATCTTGATCAATGCGAGGTATGCGGTCTTGAGATGGAACCCTGAGTGGGAGAGCATCTGATATCTGGGTTTATTCGGGGCTGTACGCGGTGGATGCTGGCCTACAAGTGCTTTGGGCTACAGGCAAACTTTGTGCTTGTACTCATCTATCATGCAACCCATTGACTACATGCTGGTCCTCGCTGCTGTGGTGAGTTACCTTTGAAACTCAGCTTTTGGTGGTCCTCATCCTGGCGTCTAGCTCGCTTGCCTGTATGTCCCGGGCCGCGGATCCCATATCCGAGGGGACATAGCTTTTTTGCTGGTCACTGCAATGTTCTTCGCAACATCATGCTTAGGAACAATTTCCGGGCTCACACTGAAGGATTCGGTGTCACGAACAGGCATCCTGTTTGCCATCTACGTCCTCGGGTTTATCACCGTCACCATGGCCTACCGACTCTCACCGTGGCACCCCTTACACAGTTTCCCAGGGCCGACATTGAACAAAATTACTAGTTTGAGATGGGCGTATATTATTTACAAGGGAAAGCGGCACCTTGTTACTGAGCAGTTGCATGGACGATACGGCAAGTTCGTGCGAACGGGTGAGTTGAACGCATCCGTATACCTGTCTCTGTGCTGAGTTGCGAAGGTCCCAACACACTTTCCATTAATGATCACTCCGCTGTTCCGAGTTTATATTCTAGCGCACAAGCGATGGACAAGAGCGATGCGTATCGCCCCGGACGGTTCAAAGAGGATGGATTATTCTTTATCCGCAGTCGAATCAAACATTCAGTCCGCCGGAAGCTATGGGCCGGGGCATTCAGCGGGTCCGCGTAAGTCATGACCGCTTTCATTTCCAGCAGACTGTCTTAGGAGACTAGGATTCATCATGCTTGCGACATAATCAACAAGCGAGCGTTGCAGCTATGCAATCACTTGCAGCATGCTGCGCTTCATGTTCCGGTAGATGCGGTAGATCTATCGCAATGGATCCGATTTTGGTCATACGACGTGATGGTAGGAACACCGTTGATGCGTGGATTAATCTTACCGAGCGCTGGCAGGGAGATCTGACATTTGGGGGATCAAATTACATTGTCAGCATTGGCGTATTACGAATACACATCTCCTCAGCTACTCACTTTTACCATTCCAGGAGCTCATGGAGCATGGAGACCCTCAAGGCCTAGTTGACAGTGGCAAGAGAGCTATGATTGCATTCGAGGTGTAAGAGTCATTGATGGCTCGTTGACTCCGATATACCAATAACTCGACCATTGTTTCAGCCTGGGAGCAGTCCCGCCAATATTTGACATCCTCTGGTACTTCCCGGTTACCAGGGACGTTCATGACCTTGATCGCTTAGCGGAGCGCATGATTCATGAACGACGCATGGCTGAAGCGAAGGGTACTGATATATCTTCCTACCTGGCGAGTCCATTGAGCTCAATGAAACTCCGATTACGCTGACGACTCAGGATAGCTTGGTCATCACTCCAAAGACGAAGAAAAATTGACTCGCGAGCAATTGAATTTGGACGCTTTGTTTGCCATACAAGCAGGTGCGTCATAGGCTAAAATCTGATCGTGTAGAAGCGTTTTCATGAACACCGGGAAACAGGATCGGATACAACATCTGGCGTTATGATATTATTGCTCTACCACCTACTTGCAAATCGCGCCACATATGATCGGTTAATGGAAGAGCTGAATGCCCACTGTGAAAAGGGCAAAATATCCGAAGACACGGTTTTCAAGCTGCCTTACCTTGGTGCAGTTGTCAACGAGGGCATCCGATTGGGAACACCGTTCCCTGGGCTCCCTCGTGTAGTCCCCAAAGGTGGAACTGTCCTCTGTGGAACATATATCCCCGAGAACACCGTCGTTTCTGTTCCCGCTTATTCTCAGCATATCCATCCAGATAACTTTTGGCCTGAGCCCGAAAAATTCCGTCCGGAGCGCTGGCTTCCTGGTGGACTTGGTCCAAGAAGCATATTGCGGACTTCTGCATTGATGTCATTCTCATATGGTGAGCCTTTCTCTCGCTAGACCCGGAGATATTCATCAAAACATTTCCGTAGGACCATTTGGATGTCTTGGAAGAACACTTGCAATACGTGAACTTCAAATCTTGACGGTCTATCTGCTGCGCTCTTTCGACATTCGTCTGGCCGGCTCCTTTGACGAACAAAGATTTGTACGAGGTGTGCTGAACATGCGCACAACAGTATTTGAATATCCACTATTGGTGGACATTCAGCAGCGCGTGTAATTATTCTGTGTGCATAGTCTTTCTTCAGCTTGGCATGAACTTTAACTCCTCCCGATTCTCGTCCTCGGTTCCGACTAGTATAAGACCGAGAGTTGTGTCGACGATATTCTCATTTCCTATATGACTCTGTTCTCGTTGTGTATCAACAAACGGCTCATGCGCATAACCGGTAGACTATCCGACATCGGAAATTCTCGTGCTATCTTCAAGCTCCCCGCTAATGTAGCCCCAGTTTCGTATTCTGTCATCGTCTGTGTCTTACTACGCTACATCCGATGCACCTTATGATGCGTCCCATAAAGTCCCATTCTGTGCATACACCACGAATGTGCGAATCCGCCAATACATCAGTACACCGCTGCCATTGTGGAACATACATCACTCCGTACCTGCGGAATTTCGTTTTCCACAAGATTGTCTATGACGGACCTCGCAGCCCGCCTACGACGGCAGTTCCGGCGCATGCTGTGAACCCGCGAGTCGAGATTACAAGTGAACCCGCGATTCGAGATTACAAGTGAACCCGCGATTCGAGATTAGTACAAGTGAACCCGCGAGTCGAGATTACAAGTTTACAAACTGTTCACGTGTTGCTTGCGATGGATGTTGGCGTGTATCAGAAGGAATACATCCTGATACATCGTTTGCCCAGTGCCACACGCAGGCCTAGGCCGCTTCTCATTTTGTGCAGGTTCGATGTCGGCAGGTCCGTACCTAGTATTGACTTGGGCTGTGGAGGCTGTGTGCTGTAATCGCGGAAACGCTGGCGCCACGGTCTCGCTTCCGCTCATCACGATCTCGCAGAAGCGAAGCCTACCCCCGGCTTTCGCAATACGACTGCACCGTATCTTTCAGATGAAACTGGCCCCTTTCTTACCACATGGACGCTTCCGGAGGCGTATCATTCACCGCCGGTCGATGCTCCGAGGTTCCTCGGGATACGCAGTACTACCGGACCCCCACTATGATCAGACACCCTCGCCAGTGCCCATACAAGTGCTCAATCTAGGGAGTATCGCGCTTTTATCCAGTCAGATCGCGACCACTGCCCAATGTCCACATCACTCGATAAACGCTTGCAAGATTGCGGACGCTCGCTATCGATTTTCCTAGTCTTTCTTGTTTGCGCAGGGCAGTTCCTAGACACGTTCAATAGCTCCGCGTTCTTTCTGGCCATCCCATCTCTCGCCAAAGACCTTTCACTCAGCGGGAACGCGTCAGTATGGCTTATAAGCTCATTCCAAATCACATTCTCCTCTTTTCTGCTGGTTTCCGGGCGCCTCACAGACAGGTATACCTCGAGTGAGTACAACAGCTCTGCCCATGGGTGTGATTGATATCTAAGGTAACTAGAGTATGTTTTTGTCTCCGGCCTGTTCTCGTTCGGAGCTTTGTCTTTGGCAAGTGCTTTCGTGAAAAATAAAATCATATTTCTTATTTTTCGTGCTTTTATCGGCATCGGTGAGTCTCGTTCTACCCCTTTCGACTGCCGTGAAAATTCTTACGAAACCGATCAATACTTTAGCCGCATCTCTGACAATACCCTCTGCGACTCATTTGGTCGTGCATACGTCACCGTCTGCACATTTCAGAACACGGGCTCTCGCAGCGTTCAACGGCAGTGTTGCTTTAGGGAATGGTGAGCACACCAATACTTAGCGGTGTGCCCTGCTAATATCTATATCTAGTCATTGGTCTGGTGCTTGGAGCGGTATTCGTTCAACGCGCCAGTTGGAAGTGGATCTTTTACTTCGAGGCCATGGTCTCGCTTCCAATAGCGCTTCTGTGCCTCGTCGTGATTCCGAACAATATCCAGCAGCGTGACAACACTCATAACGGATCATCAGAAAAGGAGGGAATCAAAATTGACTGGATTGGTATCTGTCTGCTCACAGGCGAGTTCTATAACATATAATATTATGTTACAAAACCTCTTATACGGCTTGAAGCTTCGGTGCTCCTGTTCGTCCTTGGTGTCACGTCAGGAGCATCATCTGGATGGGGATCCGCGCTAGTGATTGTTCCGCTGGTATTATCCGCTTGCATTGCCGCCGCATTCTTTGTTTGGGAAATTCGCTATTCGAGCGCAGCGTCAGCCCTGCCGTCAGAATTGTGGAACATACCAGGAATTCGGCCACTCTGTATCGTGTCCCTGCTACCCATGCTCTGGTGGACGCAAGTATTTTTCACATTCAGCGAACTCTGGCAGACGCGCTACTACAGTTCCATCCTCACCGCTGCGCATCTGTGAGCGACCATCACGTCTTGCTGTCTGTCAGAGTAAAAACTTAATAACAGGCTTCCTGTCGGTGTACTGGCCATCGTTGTTATCGCCTGCGCGCCCATCTTGAAGAGTTTTATTGGCAGTAAAGCAATCATCCTCGTCGGACTGACGTTCATAGTAGCCGCAACTTCTCTCCTACCGTTCGCAGACAGGAAGTCGCGGTATTGGACATTTGCCTTCCCGGCGTTTACCATCGGAACGACAGGGGTTGCTATGATATTTGTTCATGCGAAGTGAGCCATCTCATGAGGTTTTCGAGCAGCGGCGACTGAACATTGCTCTGCCAGTATAGCCATGCTGGAGGCTACTCCAAAGCGTCTCACCGGTACGGTCGGAGCGATGTTCTCTACCTCCCTCCAGCTCGGAGCGGCGGTAGGGGTCGCTGCGATCACGGCTCTTCAGTCGAACATAGCAAACAAAAGAGCGGAGAATAGCAGCGGCTTCAGCGGGATTGCTGCCGGGTTTTGGCTTCTTTTGGGGATCGTAACCGCTTCAGCCGTCATTTTTTCCCTCACTTTCGAACGATCGGCCGGCAGAAGGACACAGACAGAACCAGATATCAATCAGAATGCTTCAGAGGGCAGAGATGTGTCATTATTTTTGTCGTCGACTGGGGAAGGAAAGGAAGAAGCTCCAAGAAGCGAAAACAGCCAGTTTCAATGAATCGAAAATTGGAGAGGGTGGCGCGGATCTGTTGTCAATGTCGCGTACCCGTCGCATCCACTCATCGAGAGAGAGATGTTCAACTAAGCCATTGTATATAGTGTATGTGATGCTGAAATGTCTATGCGGTGAAAGGAGAAGACATACATCCCAAGCCTAGCTTTGCGTGAACCAGAATTTGTTGCGCCCAGCGACCAAAGCACGACAAGAGCGTCCCGACGAATCTCGCCGTAACTCTGTTCTTGCCAGACACGCCAGTTCTTGTCCTCTTTGTCCCCCTTCACCATCGTCAGCGCCATCGGCGGCCTCGCCCTGCGCAACGTCCTCATCAGTGAAGACCTGCTTACCGCAGGGCGACTCCTCGGAAGCACCATGTCGTACTCGTTCTTCGTGGGAATGCCGGTATCCTTGGGGCTGCGATATTTGTTTCGAGCGAGCTGCGTACGTACCTTGCAGCTTCTTTCTGCGTGTCTTGTAGAATATGTGCGGATCTGCCAGTACCATTGCAGACGAGGTGCAGCAGGTGCAAAAAAAAGAGAAACATTGCCCACTATTGCCCACGAAGGTTGGGTTGGGCTGAGATGGCGATGACGTGACGGGCAATGCCTCTCCCGAGCGTTTTGCCTGTTTGGCAAAACGCAAGGCGCGGCGATAGGGGGAATAGAGCGCGGTTACTCATCTAATATTGAACGACTTCCAGTCTCATCTCCATCAGCAAGAATTTGTCTTCACTCGGAAACGCGACGTGCTCAGGTTTACACCGCCATGGCTTTTCATGGCTGCGTCGAAAAAGCAGGTCGCGACCGTAAACAGGGCCCATACTTACTTATAACTCTACCGCGATGGTCGCAGCCCCCTCCGGGTTTGTAGGGCTCGATGAATGCATATTTTTGAAACGATGCAGCAATCGATACGGATTTGTGTTGTAAATCGCATCTGCGTACAGGACTCAGTATGGATGACGACGACGCTTTCATTCCCAGAGCATGAGCGGTCCATCGGACCAACATTCTAAATCACACTGCGCACACAAAAGAACAACGCGACACAAGAAAACGATGGGAGAGGATGGGAATCGAGGATGGGAATCGGCAGTCAGATCTACGTTCGAATACTGAGAAGTTCGGCGCCATCCCTCGGTGTCAAGGAACACGTAAAGGCTGGGGGATGGCTATGACCGGTGAGACCCGGAGTTCGCAGCATACATGGGGACATACCTGATAGTACCCGTTTTGTAAGGTACTTCCCTTGTTATATCCTTGCCCTGCATGTCCCTAGCGTTTGCAATGATTACGGTTGATAGCGCTGTTGCAATCGCCACAAACATTGATGACTCCGCGAAAGCCACGCCCGGGCATGCTCGACGACCGAAGCCAAAAGCGACACTGACTTCTTTCACCGCAGCTTCGTTCCCAACGAAACGCTCAGGAAGAAACGAATGGGGCTCGGGGAAAATGCTAGGTTCGTGAAGCATCGCCCTATGTAGTGTATAAACAACAAGCTCTCAAGAATGGTATCAACGTACCAGATGTTAGGCATAATGATGGTCTTTGCCGGGATGTGATAACCCTCGTAAACGTCCGCCTCTACGAGCATATGGGGGACACCTGATAGGACAAAGGATGTCAGGACATATCTCTCTTCAAACGTTACACCTACCGAGCGGTGTCACAGGGTTCCAGCGAAGTACCTCGTACATGATGCACTCGACATAAGGCAGGTGTTTTCTGTCTGATACACTTGGCAGTCGATCCTTGCCGACGACCTTCTGAATTTCCGTATATCCACGCTGTTGCACGCCTGGATAGAGAGCCATTGCCAAGAAGAACGACGACAGCGCAGCCACGGTCTGGGCGATAATGTCAGCGTAGTAACTCTCTCCGCATCTAAGACCAACCGTATCCGCGCCGCCTACATATCATGTGAGTAGAAGTGAAAAACGTTTATGACATTCACTCACCGCCAAACAACGAAGCAGAAGACCACAGAAGCAGGCTCTGCTCCTCCTCAGTCAAGTCAGCATCAGTTTGGTTGATGACAGTTGACACGAAGTTGGGTTTAGCCAACGCGGGCAAGCCCTGTAAATCGTCTGAGTAGGATGCTGGCCATGAGATGTGATGAACCAACCTGGTTTCTCATAGCCCAGTCGTAGGGTCCGTTGATGACCTGCATGTGTAAATCGGACCACTTTTTGGCAGTGCTTTGAAATCCCGCCCCAGGGCTCCAGCTTGGAAGATATCGAACTAGAGAGGCGAGAGAGACGTAAACGCGGGTATTACATGAAAACAGAGATGCTATAAGGGAACCTACGCCACGGTACGAGGTCAACCAACCAAGCGCCCGGTTGAGACGCCATGGAGAACGCTTGCATGACCTTCTCAGCAAGAAGTAGGAAAGGGTCGTCTTTCGGCTGCGTTTGATAGCCGTACGTAACCTTTAGTATGACTGATCCAGCGTAGCTACATAGCGTTAGACCACGAAAATACACCCCCCCCCCCCAACGCCTTGAACACTCACTGGCGAATATACGATTGCATTTCGGTCGGATGTGAAATGAGATTTTTGGCTAATTCTCTGCTTTCCTGTTCATGCAGCGGCCAGTATTTTTCCAACGCCTTCGCATTGAGCTCACGCTGGATAAGTCGGCGAAGTTGACGAAAACGTTCGGAATAAGGCATGAGTGCAATCGCCTGATCGAATCCAACGCTTTGTAACACGTTAATGTAGTCTCGCTGACATGAACTGATCAGGCCTACAGATCTCCGGCCATGACCTATAATCGCCGTTATTCAGTGAAGCCGTATACTAGGGCTGTAGAGCCTACCAGACGGGGACGACTTGAATAAATGCCTGAACGCTTCTCGAGTAGGTCCGACACGACGTCGTGAGTATTCAACACCAATATCGGTTGACCGAGGATGCTCAGGTAAAAATAATTGCCTAGTATAAGGTATCAGTGGTACACGATCACGACTGTATACAAGGCACACCGTATGTTCGAGCCCAGTCATAGAAGGTCAACCATTCTCTCTCCTTTGGCATTTGGAGCAAGTTACCCAATAGAGGAAGCGGCGAAGGGCCAGGTGGCCGTTTCCGCCCAATCGTGATGAACGCCAGAATGACCGCAGTGGCAGCCAGAGTTGTACCCAGCGCAAACGAGGAAGACGACATCTCGATGATGGATGCCGGTGACAAGTCCGCACAGGAAGGAAATGAATGGATGTAGGCATGCGGCAGCAAGTCGGTCAGGTATAAGTACGTATACTGTAATTGGCAGTTCAACAACGCACACCGCTTGGCAGTTCGAGGGGTCCGATAATTAAGTTTGCTTCCTCGCCAATCCCACGACGCTGAACCGAGTTCTCCGCCATGTCGAACCTCGCCGGCGGTTGAGGGCAAGTTATAAGTCTGAGAGGCTGGCCCCCTTCAGCCCAATCATCACCCCGTCAACCATGGGTCTCGTCTCTTCCATCATCGACCAGAACTTCCCTCCAAAGGCGACGTGGGACACAAGCCTGATCCCGGATCTCACGGGCAGGGTTATCATCGTCACCGGTGAGCTCGCCGAGCCTTACTGAAACGTTCAGGATGACAAATCATGTGCAATATTTCAGGCGGAAATAGTGGTCTGGGTTATGAGACTGCAAAGGCGAGTTGCGTAGGCACGCAAAGTCAAAGTCTAACCCACCTAATCCAGGCGTTGTTGTCCCACAACGCGAAGGTATACGTTGCGTGTCGGGACAGGGCGAAAACAGACGTGGCTATCGAGTCCTTGAAGAAGGAAACTGGAAAGACTGCTTTCTTTCTTGAGCTTGACCTCGCGAGCTTAGCGTCGGTGAAGGCATGCGCGGATAGTTTTATGAAGTAGGCTGCTGTAGGTGGCGTCACATTCCCAAAACTGATCGCTACCCCGCAGGATTGAAACTGAGCTGCATGTGCTATTCAATAATGCGTTAGTGTGTTGCTGTTTTCATCCAAAATGGCGGATAACATCCTTTGCAGGGGAGTCATGTCGCCACCGATATCACATCTCACTCAAGATGGATACGACCTGCAATTTGGCGTCAACGTTCTCGGTAAGGAACGAGCCAATGACAAGCATCACTCACTCATCACTTGCTCAGGACATTTCTACCTGACGGAGTTGTTACTTCCTGCTCTCAAAGCCGGTGCCGCATCCTCCGCTGACCACGTGTCCCGCGTAATCAACACCTCGTCACAAATGCATCTTCTCGCCAAAATGGATTACGATACCCTCACTGACACGACCCAACGCAAAAAGATCAGCCCGAGTGATTTATACGCTCAGAGTACTTTCGTACGTACGGATAGTAGCGCTTGACGGACTCGTCTAAGAACAAGACTGTCAGGGTAAAATTGTGTTTTCACAAGAGTTGGCTCGAAGGTACGGCACACAGGGAATTGTCTCGATCGCACTGCATCCCGGAAACCTCAAAACCGACCTGGGCCGTCATTTGCCAGCTCTTCTGCGTAGAATCGTGGTAAGCTACGACGTTGCTGTTATCCGTTCCTCATACATCAACGCCGATGCAACCTCAGCATATGACGTGTTATCCTCCGCCCAAAGGCGCCTTGACTCAGCTTTGGGGAGGTACGGTGCCAGAAGCGGCGTCAATGAACGGAAAGGTAAGCCAGGGACATCGCATCTCGCGCACAACATTTGACATACGCGTGCTCAGTATCTGATCCCATGGGCACGTGTCGGAGAACCACGCAAGGATGCCTTGGACCCCAAAATCGGCGGGGACCTGTGGGAGTGGATGGAGACGCAGGTGCGCGGGATTTGATACCTCGCCAGCTTGTGCTCGTGTGAGGCTGTCCGAATGGGTACTTGTGTGTGCGTACATGTTGCAAAAGCGTTCTATGCAGGTGTTCCGAAAGCCACCATCAAGATTTCCGGTCGCTGCGGGAGAAGCTCGATATGCCCTTGGATGCCTACATCAGGAAACACACCCTCTGGGAATTAGTATCATAAAGGGGGGGGATGTCAAGTAATTACTGGACTATCCATGCAGATAAAGCCATTTTGGGGCCTTTTACAGTATATAGGAACATATAGGAGCTAATAGGAGCACATAAGTACAAAAATGAGGATATCTGGAAGGTCCCCCTGAGCATTTGTCACAAAATGTTCACAAATATGTGGAAATTTATGAACTTTTTGGGCATATTTTGGTGATTTGTAACATCAATCATCTCTTCAATATGATATATTTTGGTTCAAATAACACCAGAAACCTCCAGACTTCATGTCACATCTTGTTAGATGTCTTCAGAATTTGGTCATGTGTACTATCCATTCATCAGGTATTATAATTACATTATGCAGGAATCTGTATACATATGT